TGGTTAGCTGCTCCAACAGGCCGCTAGTCTCCACGATGTGCTTGTCAGAGGCATTGCCGCCGTAAACGTCACTGACAAAGTTCACAGTGCCATTGGGTGCCACCCCAACCATGACCTTGAAGGTGTTGGCAGCTTTGTAAGCACTGTAGGTGCTTGAGCGGCCCTCACAGCTATCAGGTCGCTGAATCCTAATTTCTGTGCAATCAAGTGTCGTCCTGCAGTGCCTGAACTTCCTGAACGATGCTGGCATAGATTGAGAATTCTTTTCTCTACTAGGCATTCCCTTCCCAAAAATAGGCTTGAACAGAGCCTCAGCGAAGATGGACACAAATGTCCTGAAGACATTTGTAACGGTGGCTACACTCTTGTTAAATCTCACGCTTAGATCTGTGTGCCCAAAGTTGTGTCGCAGTTTCATCAACACCAGGAGAATTTGGTCCTCTAATGTCATCGTTGTGACCTTGAAGGTGTGGTATGTAAAATCACACATGCTCACATATGTGACTAGGGTTTCAAACATTGCTCTGCTCAAACTAGTATAGTAAGTTACTAGCTGTTCGCTATGGCTAATCTGGTTGTAGCAGAACCTCTGCTGCTGATAAGCTGCTGCAGTTTCAAGTCGTTTGATATGCTGTTTGAGAAGCTCGTTCTCGGCAGACAACATGGCCTCACTATGCACAGGTGGTCCAAGGACAGCATCTTCCATTTCCACAGCTGCATCTTGTCTTCTGTTTCCAGGAGAAGAGTGATGGGGTCTGGTATCATCAGGCAAGTTGATCCGCTTCCCTTCATTCCATGGAAACCTCACTGGACCTGCTTTTTTGCCATTAGGGAAGTGCCACGAACAGATCCTTGTGTGTTCGGTAGGGGTGAAGTTCTCCCTCCTGCAACAGAAAAAAGGGATTACATGATGATTTAGATTAGGCATGCATGATTAGGATGACGAAAGTTACAAGCCCTTCAAGTAGAAAATATCCACAAAAACAGGTTCGTGCGATTGTTTCTGAAATGAAGCTTGTCAGTTTATTAATAATTTTCAATTTGAATGTTACAAAATGTAAATGTTTCAATGTTCATATCCAAAACATACAACAGACTTGGTAAATATATTTGTGCTATGACTACTGTTACTGCTATTTATGGAGTACCTACACACCATGCACAAGTGATTGACGATCAAGGCTCCGAGTTAACCTTGTGAATCATTCCGTAATGATGCCAAAAATAAATATTTTTCATTATCTGATATTATATACACTTTTATAGCTTTTATAGAAATAGTTAACAATAATTTGATGTTTTATTAAAAGCTAAGATGCCATATTTCCCTTGCATGATTTATGGAAAAGATTTATGATGGGATTTATGAAAGCTTGACGTGTAAAATATGCTGATTCTCAAAATTCTTACTAACCTTATCGCACGAATGTAGCGTTGACGGATCAGTTGGGCAAACTAGACCTTTGGAATCAAAATATGGAGGCATCAAAAGATTGATTCCTTATGACCATATTTGGGCATAAATGCAGACCATTTCTAACTCACCAAACACATAAAAATAAGAAAGTGTTTCAAGAAGGAGCATGCCTGATCTTGAACAGAAATGCTGGAAGTATCTCCTAAGCAAAATAATATTGCTCCTATCATAACAATTTGAATTCTATGGGTAGTGAAAGGCAATCAAGGAATTGATTCACTTTAAACAGATAATCATAATATTGATTCCCCATCAGCTGGCTAATCATTATTTTGATTCACAGGTAATGTTAACAGATAGGCAGCAATGACTTGCAAGAATACAGTATTTATCTTGATATTATTCTCATTTAGTGGTATCCTCAGCACCACAACAGATACCTATAGCATTGTTGTACTTTACCTTCACTACATTTGATAACAATTCACAATTTTTAAATGTCAAGAATACAAAAACTGAAGCAACAGGTAAAAACTATATAATAAATATAAAAGCACTACAACAATGATAATTAGGGGTTTGAAAATTTCATTTTGCCATTTTACACAAATACTGATTGTTTAGTATGCGATTCATGATACAAAAATAACATATAGTGTGATTTCCTCAAAACAGCTTTTACGTGATGGACAGTGCCTCTGTCTTTTTCCCATTCATAAGGCCAAAGGGACAATTTCTTAGTATTGAGGTAACACTTTTTGCAAACCTACCACATTTTTCTACCTTTTTATAGAAAAATCTCACCGTCATGGGCCTTTTTTCAACCGTAACGATACATTTGAAGTCAAAAGTGTACCCAAATGAATCAAAAAATTGATTCTATGCCCATATTTGGTCATGGCTCCTCCCACCAGAATCAAATTATTGATGCCTCCATATTTTGATTCCAAAAGTCTAGTTTGCCCAACTGGGATCAGTTTGTTGCTGGGAAACCTGTAGAACGCATATTTGTTTTTGTCCCCTGACCGGTTCGTACAGCCTGGGACACAGCAATTCACCATCTCGATGTTCAAAGCTTAAAACAAGCGTGCGTCTTGTGATAGCTGACCTGAGGTCTGAGAAACACAATATATCTAATTAATAACCCACTCCAATTCACTACCTATTCACAGCTAGTACATTTGCCCATTGGTGCCCGTGTTATAAACGTAATGGCGCAATGTCTATTCTGCGCCAAAATCGCACAAGTTTTTTTAATTTAGCAGCCATGCAAAAAAATCATGTTTTTTGTGCAAATCAATGAATATAAATGCATTTAAGTCGACCAAAATGACAACTTAATACCATTTCCATTATTGAAACATGACATAACATCGGTAAACGTCCCCAAATTCTTGCATTTTAGTTATGAATCGTTTGGCCTATCTCTACAACATTAGCGCAGTCAGCTGTTGGAACCGTGACGTCATCACTTAACAGCCCTATAAACCGACCCCCACCAAACACGATTTGGTAGCACTGTAATGAGGCCTGCTGGGCGTGAAGTTTTCCCTTCACCATAGGGTTTACACACAAACTGGTCAAAGTTTGAGCCAGGATATACTAGTCTAAAAATGCAAAAAACGAACAAATTTTGGCATCAATAGATTCAGCATTTCATCGTGTGCCTCAAACCGTCCATCATTTGGCCTCAAAGGAGGTAAAAATTGTTCAAAATCGAAGTTGAAAAGATGCTTTCTGAGCACATAATCTGGTAGCAATCACGTGACCTGCTATAAGCAGCCTATCGATAATTTACAAACATAATTATTAATATGCTGCTTTAAACAACATTAACCATACATTTTGAGCTTTCAGTACTTCAAATAAGGTCAAAACATCGCAAAACACAAAAGTTAATAAAATAGTCACGTGGGTGTCGGGAAATGTCACAGGTGCGTCAAATTTGTGACTGGGGCTTTACTTTCAAACATCGGATCTACCTGTTTCTTATAGGTATCTTGGTATAAACATAGTACCAATATGTTAAATAGTTTGAAATACTTTTTAGCGAATTATGCACTTCTGGCACCGGTTTTGAAAAGAAAATGGAAAATAATAATGTCAAAATAAAAACCAACGATATCTTCATATTTCAAGAAGGTGGCACTTTTCCTTTAAATGGATTTCAAATCCAGGTGCAATCCACCAAAAAGGAATGCAATCAGGATTTTGCAATCCTGCAATCACAATCCTACCGATGCCTGTTTGTATGTTTGTATTGTGAAAACTGGCGTTGTGAAGTCTGATGAAAACTGGCGAGTGGCGCGTACGTAAGTGTGTGCCGGTAATTTTCAAGGTGCGTGGAAATGCATAGGTGATGCATAGAGTGTGATGTTTGTATAGCGCTAGATGCTGCGGTGAGACGTGTTACTCAGCATACTGAGCCTGACGTGCTGACGCTTGGCCAAGCACCAGTTGGCAGCCCTTAGAAAAGGCTTCGCCAACGCACGTGTTCGAGACACGTGCAAACTGTCACTGGAAGCCCATACAGGGCACATCCAGCGCCGGTTAAATCTGTGTTAAAATCTAATGATCGATTGTGGGCCCCGCGAGGGGGCCCGAAGGAGGAAAAAGAAGAAAATAGACAGGAAAGGATAAAAGAGGATAGAACAGGTAAGCCAAAAGGAAGGAGTGAAGGTAATTTCAATCAGGAAGTCTGCAGCCAAGGGAGGCCGGTTGGTGGTGGGGCTTGACAAAAGATGACATGATTGTACAATGGCAGCGTCGGACGTCCGGGCTTGGTCGGCTGCCCGCGGTTGACGATCGCGACATCACGATTACATAGCAGATACACGAAGCGCCGAAGAGAATCATCGCCATGGGGATCACGCAATTTCCTAACACATGAAGTCAATTTCGAACCAGCCGATACATTAAACAGTACAAAACTCAACTTCGAGACAGGACCAGACAAAGTGCAACATCAGGATTAGACACAGGAACAAGATTTAGCGATTGCTCTCTGGCTTGGAGCAGACTGGTCAGCGGTTGCTGATAACGCGCACCCAATGTTCACATTAACAATGCTGTTCATCGTTTTAGCAACGCTTTCGGCGAGCTGTCGAAGGGCGGCGGTCACAGAGCGAGGGAAGCCCATCGGTTCACAGCCATGACCCCCGCGTCTTCGGGTCAGAGGCGGGACAAGACCGAGTGCACCATGTGTCCAGATTCAAGCTGATTGGAATGTGGTGACTTTGTACTGCACAGCTTTGAAGAATCGTTGACCCCCAACAATACTAGCCTTCCGCTTATTCCATCATCATCATCCCGCACCGGGCGAGGACGGATGGCGGCGCCTTCTTGCACATCGCCGGTCCCCGCCGCCGGTCAACAAGTCCAACACGGTACTGAAGCAACACTCCGCATCTAGTATTCGCATGGTGGGGGGCGTAGTACCTGGCCAGTGACGTCTTTGTACTTGGCACAAGAAAGACTGCGGGACTCACCCACCAATCGTTTGCCGAAATTTGGTCGAGGGAGGCCATCGCTATTCCCGCTTGTCGCATGAGCTGCGGGCCTTCCCATACTGGACGTAACAACATGAAGTGGCGACAACACGGCCAGGTACTACCGGACAAAGGCACCTCGCATCTGAACGCGCACTCTTCCCTACCGCACAAAGCCGCCAAACAGACAACCTTGGGGGTTCGCGACGCGGTCCGCCCAACGATAGCTCGCCGAAACGGTTAAAACCTACCACAATAATAAAAATAAATCTTCACAGACGCGATATATACAAGGTAAAAAGGCGCACGTGTGGCAAAGTTCCTTGACTAGAGCTTGCGCATCACAAGAACCAGAAACTTGCCACTGGCGTGGACGCCTCCGCCGCTATCAGCCAATACCGTGAGGATTCTATCGACACACTCGACAACAGAGATACGGGGGAGATGGGTGGCCTGAGAGCTGGCTGGCAGATTCCCGTCGCTCAGTCACCGGGCATCGCGAGGACCGGCCAACGCCAACAGCTGTGGCGAACCGGACCAGCCGGCTGGCGCCTATCACCAGCGTGCGCTGCCGAATCCCGCTCTGGCCCAGTAAAAACCAAACGCCAGCGGCGTCTCCATAGGGGAACAGGGGATCGACACTGACCCCGACAGGCGTTAGACAGCCACACAATCAAATATACCGACGCAACACTAACAGGCACACGGCCAAAACCGAATACAGGATACCAATGACTAACCGAATTTGGTCTGCTGCTGATGCTGTCGAGTGTGATAAAGATCGATGAATATTTATCACTGGTATCACTAATTGCTGAAACAAGCGCATAGTCTTAACTTAAGTGTTGGCCTATACTGAACTCTCACACTGAACGAAGCACATTTTACGCTAACTGAATGAAGACTACACAGAGAATACGATAACGACCGAATCAATTTCTGAACAGTAAAAGGACTAATGATATGGGCCGGAAACAATCAATTACCAAAATGCCGGAAGAAGCGACTATTTTGAGCATCGTAAAACACATCACAGAAACCTTGACAAACGCGCCTGTCAAGTCGCACGCACACCCACCCACACATCCACCCATTCCTCCCAACCATCCCTCTTCATGCATTCAGTCATAACCTCTTCCACGGGCGTGTGGAAGCAAGACGGAAACCACCAGACTGCCCCAGCACAGCCAAGAGCCGTGTGTCCGAGTGTGCTTCGGCACTCTTCGTTCCATGAGTCTCTGATGAAAGCGTAAGAGGCCACTTGCCGAGCGGCGGCACGGCCTCAGGCACAGGCTTGCAGCAGCACCTTCAGCCGAGACGCATCGTGCAGGCCGTCACCGACAGCGGCTGAGATCTGTGGTGCCCAGTGAGTGGGCGGCCGTGGCAAATGCTGCGGCTCCGGAGGCTCGCTGAACTTGGCACCGGCGAACGGCGACTCCCAGCCACCTTCGGACCGCACCGGACTCGACGGCGCGGACGCGGCGCGCTCCGGCGCGATCGGCTTGAACGTCGCCTCCGGATGGGCCACAGTGCCGGGTGGTGTGCGTCGCGCGCGCGTCTTTGGACGCGGCGGCGTCACAAACGCCTGCAGCGACGGGCTGTGCCTCTTCAGTGAAGGCTGCACAACCCTAGGCTGACTGCGAACCACCGAACTTCTGCCCCACGTTTGAACCATGATAAAGCTCTATTTGTACTTTAGCAGCTCAATCGTGTCGACCTGAAAAGTGAATAGCATATCTCAAAATTTTTTTTTGGCAACATACCTACCTTAAATCGTGTCTCATGCTCAACTTTCAATAAAACATCTGATTAGGTTACCTTTCCTGTGGCACATGCAAAACTTATCTCCAATGATACTCTTTTTTATCTAAGATGGTGTGGACAGGCTCATTAATAAAGCTATAGTCTGTTCCATATCAAGCTTGCAGTCGGAGTTTCTTCGGCAGATCGCTCCTCCGCTCAAGAATTTGCGCCTCAAAATGTAAGAGCTGTATATACAGAATTCACGCACTGCTTTCAGCAGGGCACTTCGGCTGCAAACTTGAAACGGAACAGAGTATAGGAGCTTCAAGTTCTAATTGCATCTTTGAAAGAAACTAATATGGTCTTGTGCATGAAATATGCATGCTTATGCTTAGCTCAGTGGGAGCAACCTAGTGGAGTTTGATGAAATAATGAAATGAATGCATGAGTCATGAATTCATAAATTTTGTGTCACAATGAGATAGGTATGTAGGCACAATGAAGTTATATCCTTTTACATCAACGACTTAACATATTTTTGTTTCAATATTTATAATGAACATTGGAAATGGTAAAGAAATGTATGCAACTTAAAAAGTTAAAACCCTGGAAAAAAAGCTATGACCAGTTGCAATGGGAGCATACTATTTGGTTTGTTTGCATGTTTTTTTAAGCCTTGTGGTTGAGCAACACATTGACATAATAATCCTGATCAGAATCTGTCTGACATAATAATACATTTTACAACATTGGAGTCTGGAGATGTTTTGATATGTAATGTGTAGTGTGTATACTTATAACTTAACATCAAAGTTCAACTGATCTTAGTTGTCTTATTGTTCCACTTCCATGTCTTGTGAAATCCAAGGGTAACTTTTTCTTCATAAGGTAGGCATGCTTAGCTTTAGCATGTAGAATTAAGCTGAGTCCTGACATGGGTGACTTAACTTTACACAAATGATACCAGCCTGATCAAATCAAGTTACCAATAAATAGCTCATCACTAGTTCAGGAATATTGAACTGTTGAATCACATTCCTATTCTGAAAGTCTTTGTGCACTGAAACAGTTCTGCCATGACATACATGCCATTCAATCTTAGTGCTAACACTACAAATAAGCACAAAAATGTTTAGCAGAATAGCAAAATAGCATGAACTAACTGTTATAACACCTTATTTTCAAAGTTAAGTTGATAAATGAATATTTTACTTTGGCCCTAGCATTTTTATTCAGGAAATCATACTAATATTGAATATTTAGACATTTCAATGAGATTTTTGATGTTAAAGGCATTATATCAATATATATCAAAACCAATCTAAACCAATATAGAATTTTAATACTTTAATTTGGTTCATAAATAAGTAGCTCCATGACACACATAATAGGTTCAAAGTTACTCTGAGGTGATCAAACCCAACACATCTGTCATTTGATAATCCTCAGCATGTGTTCATACCAAGGTATCTTTTAACTTGTGTAGAATGATACGGAATACAAATAATGTAATAGAACTTATTTTGTGAGAGTATTTATCAATTAATTCACCTACACTGCTGTCTACATGATACACAAATAATGAATATGCAAAATACATAGTGAAATTGGGTTATCGCACCAACCTATTTGAATACTTCCCCTAAAAAATCTCAGTATTTTAATATTTCTAATCATATCTTCTTTAAAGGAAATAGTTCACTTTTAACATGGGGTTTGGAACTGGAATAGCAGTTTTGTTGCTTGCGCTGAGACTAGCACAAATCAGAAGCTTTTACGGCCCAACGATCACCCTAGACGAAGATATTCCATTTTTCGTTCCGAAAAGAGTGCCTTGCAGAGGAATGCAGTCACCTCATCGTCAGCCAATCAGTATGCTGCTTACAGCCGATGGGTTTGTCCTACGCAATATGATTGGTCAACGCGTAATAAGCTTCCGCTTCAAACCTTATTTTATATAGAATATAATTCTTCTTATACTAAAATATAGAAAATAATCCTTTTTACAAAAACGTTTTGTTTTATTTTCTGATCATTTTGAGCATAAAAAAACATAAATCCATAGCAAAATACTAATTTCAGGAAAGTGAACTATTTCCTTTAAGCATGATTTATGGGATCCTCAAAAACAACTATGCTTAAAGAATGAATCTTACATCCATAAGAGCAGCAAACATGCTCGCATATTGATATGACTAATTAAAACTGCATCAACCGCTATCCAGCTGGGAGAACAAAGAAAACATGTCGGCCATCAAATCATGGGAATAAATCGTTGCAACGCAATGATATCATACATAAATCTCAAACAAGACAGATAGAGTATACTTACAAATAATTCACTCGCCCACACACTCTGAAATATCACAAATGATCACACAAAGCCGTGGCTTTACGCTAACTCCAAACACGTCCCCTCCTCTCCAGCGTCATTTTCCGTCTGGCGCAATAGTCACTTGAAAGTAGTTTCTGAAAAGCGGCACACAGTACTCAGAAGGTGATTGGTCTAGAATACCAGCTACGCTGCGTCATTCTGACGTCATAGATTTCCCACCAATGGTGGTCTTACAGCTGAACTATTTTCTTTCGTATGTGTACTATTTCATAATTTTCCATTTCGAGGTAATATTTTACTAAGAAATATTAAGTTCCTTGTCTATGTGCATTATCCAATAATGCTAAAAATATTTTCAAAATGTCAATGATGATTTTAGTGGAAAAAAATAGAATATGTGGCTTCGATGTATTGTTTACAATCAGCTGAACCATCAGGGGTGCCGAGCAGTGGCGCAGTCCGTCGTCGTGGACGTGTGGAACTGGTGGTGCTGGTGCTGGGTGCTGGCTGGTGCTGGCCAGTGCTGGCCGCTGGGACGAGCTGTGTGGTGGTTAGTGGGTGATATTTTGGGGATAAGGTGGCGTCGATTCCCGCTGGCATTTGAAACAAAGAATACTGAAGCTTCACATTGGACAAGACGGTCCTTTGTGATTCCGGGCCAGTCAGTTCGACTCCAATTTTGAAAAATCATCAAAAGGTAGGTAGGCCAGATTGGATCAGATCACAGTGTATAATGCACGGTCAGATGACTTTTCAGGTGTTCGTGCTGCTGGCCGATTTTCCGTTCCTACTGGCAATGGGGTCAGTCAGTCTCAGTCTCAGTCTCGGTCTGTTTGTATTGCTGTGTTTCATAGCACAAGTCTGAAATCAAATTTTAACTATCTGTCTTTTGCTATCTTTTTATGACTGTCTCTTGTTTCATGCTAACAACCATTCTTTTAGTATTGAAGTGGATTGTAGAATGAACATTGAAAGCTGAAAGGGTTTTATGGCAATGGACAAGCAAGAGCATTGGCCTTAGGTATAGCAGAATATCAGTATTTCACTTGCAATGTTGGCAATAAAATAAATTGGTGATAAAGATTAAGAGGGTAGAGGGTAAGATGGTAACAAGACAATTGCACATTAACCTGCAAAAAGGTGTTTTGGAATGGGTACCACTGCGGCACTGCCGCCACCCCACCAGCACAGGAACTTTCCAGCCGCAGGCATACTTCAACTTCTTTGGGTGATAAGGTAGGCATTGGCATAGGCCTAGAATAGTATAGGTGCCAATCATTTTTTGGTAATAGGTCAGTGTTGTATTTGCATAGATCGTCATGTGAGGTCCATGTTTAAAACTTAAGTTTGATTGCTGGCAAATTTAATGTCTGCAAAAGGAAACTGAAAAGGTTCTTTTGATTATTGATGGTAGGTACTAAGCCCTTATAAGGATTGGAACACATCAAATTTCTGATAAGGTGGTTTTAACCAAATTTTAATAGTGATGGAACAAATTGGATGATGGAAGGAACTCATTGTTACCATTCTTAATTCAATTTTTCTTTAACATACAAGTTAGGAAGGTACAGACTTAATGCATCAATCAATATTCCTGCTTTAAAAAATAAAGTATGAAAATCATTTATCATATAAACTGTATAATAGTTACAAGTTAACAATGCCAACTATATAGTGTAATACACATTGTACATATGTAAATGTGTAATGCTTAAATGAATAATATGAATCATCAGAAAGTATGTGTCTAAAAGCTCAAAGCAGGTTCACCCTGCCCTGTGAATACAAATTCACCAAGAACAAGTATTTTGTATTAATTTATGCAATGAAATGGAATTAGTCTGAATTAGGCTTACCTTTACTGAAATTTATGCCACCACAATATTTCTCCATCCATCCATTTTGTGAGTGTTATCTTTGAAACTTGCACTAAGAAAGTTTTAAGTTTAGATTGGTTTGATGACTCGAAATACATGCAGATTGTTTTGGAAGACTCGAAATACATGCAATTTTGTTTAACAATCAATTCAATAAACCTCACTCCTAGCAGGATTTCGAAGACACGTGGCGTTGCTCTACCTGCGCACTCCTGGTCGGTTTCGACTCCGACTCCGGGTCAGGTCAATGCACCTCTACAGCCGTGCCATCGTTCCTCTCCTGTACGGGGGGGGGGGGGGGTAGGTGATGTAACTCCATTATGTGATGGGTTTCGTTGCTGGACGCCTCGCCATTTGTTGAAGCCCGCGGAAGCTCCCAGTTACCTGCGAAAAGCGATCATTCCTTGGCGATTCTCTGATTAAAGGGACAGTATCATCGAAAAAAAAATCCATGTATGGAGCTGATTTTTTTTTTACTAGCATTTCTTATTTTTCTGAATCAGAAAAACATAGTTTGAGGACCGAACTCGGTGAAAAATATTGCAACCACACTTCATTTTCATGATTCATTTTCATGAGCGAACCACCACTATACAAGCATGGCCGCCAGTTTGGAAGCATGCAAAATTACTACAGAACTGGCGCAGATAATACATTATTGACGCTACGCTTACGCGGTCGTTCTTCTGATTGAGTTGTCCTTAGGGAGAGGTAGCCTTAGGTATTGCCTATAAAAATATAACGTGACAATTGGAGGGAGTGACAACTGGACGTGACAATTGACAATGGGAGAAAATATCACGTGACAATCACGTGATAAACGTCATACATTGGAGGGAGATTGTGATTCCAGCTGGAGGAATTCCTTTGTTGAGCCGCTAGAATCCGAAGGAAACAGCGGAAATTGCCTGCGACTATTTAATGAATTTAACGGTGATGAATAAGTGCGAAAAACGTTTTGGCTTTATAAAATTTGATGAAATGACCAGGGTAAAAGTTTTATTACTGGCGGTCAATTCAAAACGGCGCAAACATTTAAACAGTGAAGATAGTGAAGCACGATTCAAAGTGTGGTACACCTTTCGTACTTTGAGCGGCGATAGCGGGATAACGGTGTGGAGCTTCGAGGATCGGTCTTCAGTTCCCGGACCAGAAAGGTGGGGCCTATGCAATGTCAAATTTCATCAAAATGGTGATACTGTCCCTTTAAGAATGACCCGATGCTAGGTCAAGAGGCTATACGACCAGCTTAGATAATGAATAAAGAGTTCATCGCCGGTTTCGTCAGACAAGCCTTCAATGAACCTTTGGAGATAAGGCATAACTTTGAACTATAATGTTTTGATGAATGGGTAAATCCGATGGATCCCAATCAATTAGTTAAAGGTCAGGCCACTGACCTGAGTTGATCCCTGGTTACTGTATACCTTAATTTCTAGCGAGATAAAATGAAATAAATTAAAATATGCTTCAGGTCATTAGGTTACCTCGCTCTTTATTTTTGCAAACACCAGTGAATTCTTCTCGTCAATAATAGTTCCGACGGCGCTGCTGACACGATTTTTGCTTCTTTTCATGGGTTTGTGACTGGGCAAATGCGTGCAAAATACACTCCACACTTTACAGAAGATACGAAGGAACATGCTTCTTGTCAGCGTACCTACCTAAGTTACATTTCACCAGCTGCCATGGAAGTTCGAACTCATCAATGTGTGGGGAAAATGCCGTCTTTCTCACTCTAAAAATCCTTGATCTGCCATGAATAAATCAAAAACTGAACAAATATCTCTTTGTATTTGCGAGCTCCTTAGAAAGGAACTGTTTAATTGCGAATCACTGAGGCGCTTATGTTAAAACGACAATTTGGAAACTATTTGGACTGGTTCTGCTGCCGAAGGCGGTGGGAGCTGAGAGCTGGGTGCTGTGTCCGTGCCCTGCTCTGCAGCTAGCAGTGAGACGCGGTGCCCGGCGGGCCGCCCCGCGCCGGTCGGTGTCGGGGGTGCGTCAGGGCGCGTGCGCCGGCTGATAGCGGCCGGCCGTGTGTGTGCCGACAGGAGCGCTGTGTGCCGGCCCCGCCTGCGATGCCAGTGGCCACGTCCGAGCAGGGCCGCCACCATGGTGATAAGCCGGTGATGTCTGTGCCCTCCTCGTCTGCGCCCGTCCTCTTCGGAGCCGAGTGCGGCCAGGCCGGCGCCGCCGCCCAGACCTCGCCGCCGCTCAACATCAACGTCCTCCACCAGGTCAGTCGCCCGGCGGGGACCGGGGTGGGCCCTCTGACCCGAAAATTACCGAACGCTCTGACCGCCTCAGGCGAAACACGCATGTAGTCCTCTATGGCAGTCCTCTGCGCCGCCGGTGTGAGACTGTTGGGAACACGGCCGTTTCGTTCCCGTGTGTGATGTGTCGCCATGTGAGACTGGTTGGCCACGGTGAGCTGTGTCACATGCGTTGGGTTTGGTTACAGTGTATTGTGTCACATGTGTGCGGTTAGTTTGCGACAGTACGCCATGTCGACTGCGTGTGGCTGGTTGGCCACATTGCACTGTTTTTAGCAAGCGGTGCTAAGCTGTGCCACAGAGTGTGCTTAGTGCCATGTGAGCGTTGTGACACATTGTCACAGTGTGTTGTGTCCTATGCGTAAAACCGTGCCAGTATGCTGCTCTGTCTGTGTGCTGCTGTATCACAATGTATTGTGTCGACTATGAAGGACTTCGCTAGTGTGCTGCGCCGTCCGTGTGACGCCAAGCCACAGTGTGCTCTATCTCAGTGTGTTGTGTCGTCACGTGTGAGGGTGTACCACAGTGTGCACTGTGCTGTGTTTCATACGTAGACGTGTGCCAGTGTGCTGTGTCATCCTTGTGTTCTTTATATCAGTGTGCTCTTTAGTCTTTTGACTATATCTGTGCGCTATACTGTGCTGTCTGTGTTGGGCACTGCCACACGCTGCCGAGGCTGGCTGTACGGTGTACTGTGAGAGCAATGTGAGACTGTAACGCAGTGTTTTGTGTCGAATTTTTGGGACTGTGCCGTCTGTGTAGAGCTGCGCCATGATGTGCTGTGTACCACATCGTGCTATGAGGGCAGTGTTCTGTGAGAGCAGTGTGTTCTATTGTACCGCGGTGTTCTGTGAGAGCAGTGAGCGACTGGTTGGCACACGGTGCGGTGTTGGAAGTTTAACGTTGTTTGACGCGGTGTGTTGTGTCGCCCTCATCGGCCCGTTACCGTTAGTGACGAGCTGTTGCCTGCTGTTGTTACTATTGGGCTGTTACCTTGCCGTCAATATGTTGCCCTCGCTGTGGGCTACTGCTTGCTGTCTGTGCCTGCGTGCAGGCTACCTGTTGCCTGCGTTATTGTCTGGTTGTTACCGATTACTGTGGCACCCTCAGTGGACTGTTGCCTGTTAGTTGTTACCGTCAGTGACGGACTGTTGCCTGTTACCGTTACTGTCCGGTTGTAACCGTTTGCTGTGTTTCCATCAGTGGTCTGTTACCGTCAGGGACAGACTGTTACCGCTACATTCGTTCGGTCTGTTACCGTCTGCAGTGTTGCCCTCAGTGGTCCTTTACCGTCAGGCACGGACTGTTACCATTACTGTCGGACTGCTACCGTCTGATGTGTTACCCTCAGTAGTCTGTTACCGTCAGGGACGGCTGTTACCGCTGCTGCCCGGCTGTTACCGTCTGCTGTGTCGCCCAGCAGCTGACTGCCGCTGACGTTGTGTCTGTTCTGTTTTGCAGGAGACGCCTCTGTTCGGCGCGCACTCGCCACCGGTGCTGAACCTCTCTCCCGGCCTGAACCCGGTCACCATGGACGCTCACCAGCGCATGTCGCCCACCTATGACGTCATCAATGACGGTGAGTGGGCCGGCGCCGGCCTGCGGTCCCACGCCGCCGCCGGCTGGCTGGCTGGCTGGCCTTGTGGCCGCCGCCGCCGGCTCGGTCGATGTCGGCGGCGGGCGCGACGCCAGGCCGGCCGTGTGCGGCCGCCGCACGCACGGGCTCCGTGCTGCTGCGCCAGCCGCCGAGCTGAGCCGCCCGACACCGCGGATGGAGTGCTGACTCGGCCGGCTGGCTGCAGCTCTTCTGCCGGCCCTGTCCTGAACGTGTACCGGTACCCCATGCAGTGCTATGAAGTGCTCCTCCATCGCGGGTGGTTGTCGCCGCTCCTGTGGGGGCTCCGCTGGGTCACTCGCGGCTCCGGGGTGGTCGACTCGGGACTCCGCTGCACTTTGAGATGGCGCAGCCAACTAAGCGACAACCTAATATCGACTCTCAGAGATGGGCTCAGAGTTCGACAAAGTCTGATCAGTGAAATACCGTCCCTCCGCCGCCGCCTGGGCTTTCGGCATTTTCGCCGGATAGGCGGTGCGACGATGCCAGATAAGGGCGGCTGGGCTGGGGCGGCGCCCGGCCGCGGCGGTGGGCTGGCCGGCTGCGTGAGCGGCCGTGCTGGCAGCGCGCCAGCGGCGGCGGCCGCCGACCGGCTGCACGGCTGCACCCTCGGCCAGCCGGCGGCGGCGGCGCGCGATAAGGCGGCACAGGTGGCCGCTGGGGCCGGGCTGGCCCGAAACATGGCAGGCGACGGCCGCGCTGGCTGGACCGAAAGCCGGACCGACCGACGGGCCGGCTAGCGGTCCTGGTTGTGATGTTACGGACTGTTGTTTTGTAAAAAGCTGTGCAATTTATAGGGAACATTTCTTCTCTATCTGAACGGAAAGTTTCAATGTAAATGTTGAAAAAGGTCTTTAAACAGAAAACATTATTGTTTTCCAAGCACAAAGCAAAGCTTTACGGCTGCTTCTTCCCCGCGCACTGGAGTTTGGGTAAGGGTAGAAACTTGAAGGCGGATATTGTGGGAAACTAAAACTTGATAATGAACATACTTTCAATGTGCGTCGGCTGATTTGCTCCGTGTCCACATTTGGCCTCTGGAGGTCACAGACTCTAAAAATGCCTTTTTAATTTGTCTTTGCAACTTCATTAAAAACCTGGTATGGTTGCGGCTCCATTGCCTGAGGTGCTCGTGGATCGATAGGCCCGCTATCCAGTAGTTTGGTGACAAGTTGCACCCAGCGCGCACCCCCTGTGGGGGAATGCGCCGCCAAATACGACAGGTGGACTACATCGGTACAGCTGCCCGGCTCCCTGCCCCCTCCCTCGCTGC